CTGACCAAATGTATAGGTTGATTGTTAGCTGATGCCTGACAAGTGTGCATGAAGTCCACTTGGATCTTACTGATAAAAGTACTTATCCCAGTGTTGAGCCTGGAAGCAAGCAATTTGACATCAATGCTAGTATGCTCTGTGTTCGGTTTCAGGGCCATGGCCAGTGCAGCACTCCGAGCATCAGAGCCCAGTTTTTCATCTTTCAGAAGTGCACTAAACAAAGTAGGTAAGTGTAGTGAGAATATGTGAAAACGTTCTCTTCATAGTATAGGGCTGCATCTGGGCCTGGGTACTTGCAAACATTTAAAAACATATTGGCTGACTGCATCTGTGTTGAACATATAGAAGCTTTCAATGTTGTGTAAAGCTGGCCACAGATGAATTGAAATTCAGCTGGTTAAACAGGGACTGGACACATTTTGATCATTGTGTAGCCATCCCTGTTCAACAAAAGTTGATCATTAGATGCTGGAAAACATTTGTAGATTGGTGGCTGTAGCTGCTGATCAATGTATTCTGACAATGGAGAGTCCCGCTATCAAAGAAAATAATGGCCTGGTGGGAGAGATTCCTCCATCCACCTCGATTGTGTGGATGGAGAAATCCGCTCTTTTTTTTTTTTCATAAAGCCTGCTGGCTGAATGAAAAACACACTTATCTATGGCCAGCTTTACACATTGGAATGTTTGAGAGGGAAAGGTCTGAAAAAAAAAATTGTCAGCCTGAGTTGCATCAAAAGAGGAAGAAGCAGATATTGAATTTGTGTATGGAATTCTGACAGCATGTTGACCGGAACACTGGTAAGGCCCAAACCTGCAATGTTAACGCAGACTGATGGGATACAGCCTACAAAGATGCTAATAAAGAGCCCTGTTTATTACCATGTATGTGGAATTTATTTTTAAAGCAGATTTGTTTTTCAGACAGGTCTGTGAGGCACAAGTTGAGCTCAGTCCACGTTTTTCAAGTTTTTGTTTGTGAGGAAGGGTGTCCTTTGAAATCTGCAAATAGGTAACCACATGCAGTTTCTAACACTTATCTGTTCCAGACTCTTTTTTTCCCCCCCTTTTTTTGGGGGGGGGCACTAACTGAATCAATCGTCTGCACACAGAGTTATGGTATTTCACAAGAAAGTCATGGAATTGTAAAATCTTCTCGAAAATTCTATGCTATATAATAAGTCCCTTGGTCAATTAGGTCTATTTTGTGGTGTCTGTTCAAAGTTCTCCATGTTGTCATCTAGGTCAGAATTTTTCATAAGCTTTGAGAAAAGGTCTGTTGGGCTATTTATTTACAAACATACAAAAGGAATCTAATGTGTTACACATAGTCAAGCATTGCAGCAGCATTTTCTAAGATAAACCAAGTATCCAACTAGTTATTGTAGCAGCATACCATTGTTTAATATCTCCTCTAGATTTTAAAGTTCTGTTAGATTTCTATATAAGTTTGGAATTGCAGACATTTGTTTTGTTAAATAACCAGCTCATATTAGAGGTTGTGTTAGACTATAAAAGAGTAAACTGTACCTTTCAATTACAATATCCTTCTGTCGCAGTAGTCCTTCTTTGATTTTCACCAGGGACTCCCACTTAGTGACATCCTGACTTACGGGTACTCCAGGAAATGCTACTCGAGAGGAATTACTCCCAACCTGTATAACAAGATTTTAAGATTAGTGTCTTTACAAATTTGAGTGCTAAATTAGGAAAACAATTCATACTGTAAGAACGACCAAATCAATTAGTCTACATCAAGAATGTATGTGGATTTCCTATAATGAAGTGTGTAGCCAGACTCTTTTTTTAAAATGTCGGATAAACTGTGAAAATGATAAAACTGTTCTCTGTGAACCCACTGGGAAGATTTACTACCTGTTCTGATGACAACGTTGTCATCAGTATAAATGAGGTGAAATCTTCAACAAGGACAAACCGTAAAAAAAGCAAGTACAACATTTAAAATTCAGGTGCTCCTTACACAGACAAAATCTTAAAAATAGAGAAAGTACAAAAAAAAAAAAAAAAAAAAACAGGCTGTGTGGGGGAAAAAAAAAAGGAATTTTCTCTTATATAACCTACAATTCTAATAATTGTATGAGAACGACCAGCTGAACATATCCAGAAATGCAGAATAACTTTATAATCTGCTATTAGTTTTATCACAGGTTGGCTGACATTACATGTCTACTAATAGAGCAAAGGTCTCATTTGCAGCACACATTTCTGAATCTAGGCTTACCTTTAAATGAGAAGACTAGCCAATGCTCTTTTGGCTTTACCTCTCCTATGGATCAGAGGAGAGCAGTTCGTTCTGCAATCCTGTGATATGTTTTCAGCTGACAGTGGCCTTAAGCCCACTGTCAGCTGATGTTACAGAGCCGATCCAGTCTTTCATATGGTCAGGATACACCCAGAACCCGGGACTGACACTAGGCTCAGCTTCTCAGCAATCCGCCGACAGCCTGAGCCAGCCCACAGCTCCAGTGAGCGCTGAGGGGCAGAGCAGAGAGCCACTGACTGACCATCACAGCTCTCTGTTCAGAGCAGAGGGGGAGAACTGAGCTATCAGTGGCGTTTGATTTCTCAGTTCTTACTACAAAGCTGGCGAGGGACAGATCCGATGCTGCATCCACCAAGTATAATGGGGTTTTTTTTTAAAGCCATACTTCTCTTTTAAAGCTGCACATACACTGATTGCTTATCATCCAATATACACAAAATATTCTGTCCATGTCAGACGAGTGCTCATTACGCAGGAAACCGCCGATATCATCAACTTGCAAGGAAAAAAAAAAAAAAAAGTACAGTACATACATTTCAACACACAAGAAAGCACGAGGGGGCCTGGAGTGAAAGATTGTTTTCTTTACCTTGAAAATATCACAGCTATTGCAGGCATTTATGAGCCTAACCACTTGCTTTATACAAGCACCTTATGTATGAGCTTAGTACTTAAAACAATCAAGTTATTTAGAAAGCTGGATTTCAAACATTTCAAAGATACACTGTCTTTCAGAAGTAACAGAAGAGATGGAACATGTGAAGTGAGAAAGGCTATTGTTCCATGGCTGGAAGGCAATTTTTATTACACTAAAGGAAATCAAAACTCCCCACCCTATCCCACTGGACTGAACTACAACACAATACCGTTTTTAAACAAACCGCATACCATACAAGGCTAAATAAGATAGGCCTACATAAATAGGTAGAATTTAAGATTATGAAAAAGCCAATTTTTTTATTTTTTTAGGGAAGGATTAGACCCTTGTCAAATTGTTCTTGCACTCGGTGTCCCCACTTGGGAGATTTACCCCTTTATTGACCATTGTCATTAAGACAGAAAGGGAAGAAAAATCCAAACCTTTTGTGTTGTCATCAGAACAAGGCATGAGAGAATATGCTACAATAGGGGCACCCGTGCTTGTGATACATCTCTAATATGGGAATTTTGATCACTTAAGTGGAGATTTCCTCTAATTTCCTGTTGCATTCCCAGGACAGAAAGTGAACGGAAATCCCACCAGTGGGAAACAGATGGCAAAAAATAAGTTGACATGCAACTTGACATGACATGAACTTGACTTTTCCTTACGCTTATCTAAAAAAAAAGTTTTTACTTTACATAAACTTTGATCAGTTTACATAAACTTTGATCAGTTTTTTTTGTTAATAAACATCCTTTTAGTAGGGAAGGGAGAATTATAAACTGGTAGAATGCAAATAGATTAGAGGATATGTTCCATTCTATTAATTGGCCTTTATTTATAGGAACAGCCTTGCCAAATATTTAGTAGATGGCATGTTTCAAAATAGTGCAATACACAGGGAACAAATGAGCGATAACAGAATGATGGATTTCCAGTGCTGGCCTAGCTGTGTACCTGTAAAACTCAAGAGGCATTCCATTAAGACTTAATTATGTACATAGAGTCACTTGTCTTTACGAGGCTGACCAAACACTCAAATTATTTTTCCATGGTTTGCGTCCAAGTATTTTTCTTTTGTCTTTAGCGAAAAACTATGCGGGTCAGGGGCCTATAAATACCACTGTAACAAGACGCCTCAGAGCGACTCCTTTGAAAGGGACAGAGATAAATACCTCCTACTGTTTTGAACATATTGGTCCTTGTGTTGATGGTTACACAAAGTGATAATCGATGCTATGCACACTCTACTTACACTAGGCTCCATTCACACAGACGTCTCAAATTGTGGCAAAAACGCTTGCGTTTTCAGGTGCCATTAAAATGAATGGCCCCTGAACACGTGAATGCGTGTTTTGACAGCATGTTTTCAAATCATGGGAAGAAGCGTGGCTATTCCGCCCGATTTGAAATGCCTAAATGTGAATGGAGCGTAAGGGAAACCTGCCATTAGAAAAATATTGGAGGCTGCCATTTATGTACTATTCTACTGTAAATATTATTTGCTTGGCTCTACTTGGAATACTTTGAGTCACTACCGCCAGAGCACGTATGTATGCCTCTCTCTTGGCAAGTTAATTGAAAAAAAAAAAAAAAAAAAAAAAAAAAAAAAAGAGGACTTAAGAGTAACGTGGCAGACTATCCGTGCAGCAGCCATGATTGGTATAAATTATAGAACCCTACTCTGGGCTCTGCCCTCCCCTCCCCAGCTGTATTTTATGAATTTTTTAAAATTACGTTTTTTCTTGTGTCTCCTGGCCGGTCATGCGACATACTGGGCCCTCTTCCTCTTCAATCTTCTCACTGCAAGGACAGGTCCTGACTGACTGTGTTAATGTGATGAGTGCATGATGCCTTGTTAAAGGGGCAAGAAATCCTGATTCTCTGTACTTACAGTCTTAGTCTTCCAGGTAGGTCATGATGAAAAAGAGGTGCTGTGGGGGACAGCTCTGGAATGAAGGCGAGTATTCAGCAAGAGCTGCTATTTTTGATGGGGGGGAACAGTAGACATTTAGTAAAAAATAAATAAAATATTTTTAGGCCAGAGTTGGCCAAGTGTCAATTCCCATAGTATCCTTCTAGAAAAATTAAATACCGTATTTTTCGCTCCATAAGACGCACCTGACCATAAGACGCGGACACAGTACAGTACAGGAAACAACCAGAGGAGACTGCGGACACACTACAGGAGATGGGACTGCGGACACAGTACAGGAGATGACCAGGGACTGCGGACACAGTACAGGAGATGACCAGGGACTGCGGACACAGTACAGGAGATGACCAGGGACTGCGGACACAGTACAGGAGATGACCAGGGACTGCGGACACAGTACAGGAGATGACCAGGGACTGCGGACACAGTACAGGAGATGACCAGGGATGACACAGTACAGGAGATGACCAGGGCTGCGGACACAGTACAGGAGATGACCAGGGACTGCGGACACAGTACAGGAGATGACCAGGGACTGCGGACACAGTACAGGAGATGACCAGGACTGCGGACACAGTACAGGAGATGACCAGAGACTGCGGACACAGTACAGGAGATGACCAGAGACTGCGGACACAGTACAGGAGATGACCAGAGACTGCGGACACAGTACAGGAGATGACCAGAGACTGCGGACACAGTACAGGAGATGACCAGAGACTGCGGACACAGTACAGGAGATGACCAGAGACTGCGGACACAGTACAGGAGATGACCAGAGACTGCGGACACAGTACAGATGACCAGAGACTGCTGACATAGTACAGGGGATGACCAGAGACTGCTGACATAGTAAAGGAGATTTGACAGGTACCCACTCCCACTTCCGCGGAGTTGTCCTCCCTTTAGTGTGGGCACCCGGCTCTGACAGCCAGGTTCCCACTGCACATGCGCGAGAAGCGCTGCGCTTTGTGAATGGCCCGGCGTCTTCTGGGACCTGTCATGTGTGACAGCCGGGTGCCCACACTAAACATGCCAGCGCGGGAAGACTGTACAGCCCTGGACCAACGAACAGGTAAGGTCCTGCTGCAGAGAAGAGCTGAGCGACCGGCCCGGTATTCTGACATGGTGGAGGTGGTGGAAATACCGGACCGGCCGTTCCATATTCGCTCCATATTCGCCCCATAAAACGCACTGACATTTTCCTCCCTTTATGGGGGGGGGAAAGAGTGCGTCTTATGGAGCACAAAATACGGTACTTACCACAAGACTGATCTCTCCAATAGACACTCAAAGAGAAACACAAGTTAAAAAGGGTTTGGAGGAAGCTTACAGTCAAACCACATATTAGTTCCTGGGCAATCATTTCATTCACAGGTCAGCGAACAGACACAGCACCACTGCCTTGGAACAACTGTGTAGGATTTAAAGCACAACTCCAGGGACTTACTAAAATTCAATTTAAAAAGGGGTGTTTTTACTGCTTTTTTTACTTTTACTGCGTCCTGGAAATTTTCCCTTACTTCATCTCTTGGTGACAAGGTAGAGAGTTATCTCCCAAAAGGGGAAACAGAAAAAAGAACCCAACAGAGAATTTATACCTTACTCTCTCCATCAAAATCTAAACATGCTTTGTGCTGGAGTTGGACCTTAATTTTGGACCACTGTAATAATAATGGATGTATGGTGAAGCAACAGCCATGAGCTGCCATTGCCAGTAACATACAACAATTCTGTATTATCAACAGTCAAGTAGAGGCCTCTCCTATGTTTAGAAACACTTCTGTGTACAAGTGGTCATATTATCAGCCCATTACCACAAACACTCCTATTTAAACATTCACATGTGAACGGCTCTTCAGTTTCAAATCTTCTTTCAGATTACAACAGATGTTTGTGAGAATAGGCTTTTGGCAGCGGTTCTCTTGCAGTGAAGAAGACCAGACATTACAGAATTCCTAACACGCCGTATAGCTCATGCAAAGACATAACATAAAGAAAACTGGACCTATATTATCGCCACATCTTGCTGGCTGATTGCTAAATAAAATCATGACATCATAATATATAACCAAAGGGGTGCCGGGACTGGAAAGTTCCAATCAAAGGTATTTATGAAACTCAATGAAAAATGCTAAATGCACAGCTGAAATACATACTGGAGGAGTAATGGTAAAACATTAAAAATACTGTCTCACCCTGCTCTGCACTGCCTCAGTTGTCCTGTATCCTTGGCACTGTGCCTGAGTTGCTAGAGGCTGGCCTGCTGACAGCCTAAACATTTACTGCTGCTGAGAGGAAACAACAGGAATGATACAGACTGTGCTGAGGAAAGACAGATATGGGAGGGAAAAAAGAAAAGTAGAAGTGACAGAATAAACTTTGCTGCCAGAGAGACACAAAGGAGTTAAACTTACAAGGATAGCGTTTTATCTCCCTGATATTCTCTCCTTTCTCCCTTTGCAGTAGCCTGTGAACTTCAGTACTATATAGCTTCTGTCAACCTTCCTCTCTAGCTGAGCCATTACATACAATCAAAGCTGAAAATGCACACATTTTAAATTACAGAATGAGATGTATAGTTTTTGAGACCAAGGAAAGGGGGAGAGCTCTCAGCATGGAAGTGACTGCTCTGGACTTCAACAAAATGGTGGCCCTCAGCAAAAAGAAACAGGAGCAATGCTGGGGACAATTTACAGCACATACTAATTTTGGTAGCATAATTATTAATGTGGAATTTATGTTCCTTTGTTAAAGAACGTTAATTGTTATCAAATTGTTATGGGTAAAGTTTCCATTTAAGCTATATAATTTACTCAATGACCTAGCCACACAATAGAGAAAAAGGACAGCTATGAAGGCCAGATCCATTAAACAGATAATAAGGGTACTGCTGTCTCTCTCTCCAACAAGGCAGTTTATTCGTGATACGACAGTCCAACCAGAGAGTTTCACTCTATTTTAGGCATTCTTTAACATGGTGGTCTCTTTATAGTAAGGTAATTTTTCAGATTAAAATAAAACATACAGAGTTACGCTATAAATATATTAATAGAAATCTTGATAAATCAAAAATAAACAATATTTATAAATTATATCTATAATTCCTGTGATAATTGTGCAAAGTCTGCTTTAAATATTGAAATCTGTGTTCAAAAATTAAGTCCACAATTAACATGCATAAGGGTGACGTGTAGAACCTCCACCGAATCCCCCAACGGTGTGTGCTCACCTTATAACCTAACTCTCATTACAGGGGTCAGTGAAACTTTAATATATAAGCTCATAACCTGTGCCTATGTGGGTTTCCTCCAGGTACTCCGGTTTCCTCTTACACTCCAAAGACATGCTGTTAGATTAATTGGACCATGTCTAAACTGGCCTTAGTATGCGTATATATGAATGTAAGTTAGGGACCGTAGATTGTACGCCCCTTGAGAGTGAGGGACTGATGTGAATGTACTATGTGAATGTAATATATATATATATATATATATATATATATATGAACCTGTAATAAATTAATGGCAGCTGCAGGTGGATACTTTATACTTTCATGGACACATGATACAACTACTATGTATGATCAGCAAGGAACCATAAACCTAGTTGCAGACACACCATCCACAACAATGCCAAGTGCCCAGCTCAAAGGAAAAAAAACATTTTATTTATAAAAATGCAAATATGCACTCATTTGTACATAAAACATGCAGGTATGTAAATAAAAGGTACCAAGCTGCCACCTCCCCATACTCACCGATCATGTATGCAGCAAATCCGCACTGCTAAGAGGTCAGTAAAGGCAGTGTACCTTGCACTCTCACATAGTTAAGCTGCACCCTACGCGTTTCATCACTGCAGCATCATCAGAGGAATGCCAATGACGGTATGGTGATGAAATGCATAGGGATGTTTCACAGCCAGAAATGTCCCTTTCTAGCTTGTGATTGGTTCACAGGCAGACTCTGCAACTTAGCAAGCACGAAGTGACTGGAATGCATGCTGGAACCTTTATGAAAAGGTTTGTAAACCCTTGCACTTCCCAATCAGGGAACCAACTTCTGTTAGTAATAATTTCAACCTAATGCTTTCAGTAACTGACCAGCGTATTAACTCATGTACAGAAAATTGTTCATTTGTGATTCTGGTATGCCTTGCCTGAATGACATGCTTTAGATCAGGACACAGATTTTAGTTGAGTTCTTTCAGTTGCAGCAGTTTTATTGATTTGCTCTTGTGTACAAATAAAAAAAATAAATAAAAAAAAAATCAACTTTGGTCTCATTTGTCTCCAAAACATATTGTTCCACTAGGGCTGTGAACATTCAGGTGATCTCAAGCAATGTTTTATTTATATATTTTAACCACTTGCCCTCCTGAGGATTTACCCCCCTTAATGACCAGGCCTCTTTTTTGCTACTCGGCACTGCACTAATTCAACTGATAATTGTGCAGTCATGCAATGCTGTACCCAAACGAAATTTACGTCCTTTTTTTCACACAAATAGAGCTTTTTTTTCGGTGGTAATTGATCACCTGTGCGCTTATTTTTCACGCTATAAACAACAAAAAAAGACTAAAAATTTTGAAGAAAAACGATATTTTTTACTTTCAGCTATAAAAAATATAAAGTAAACTCAAAGTTGGTTATAAATTTAGGCCAAAATGTATTCTGCTACATGTTTTTGGTAAAAAAAAAAATCCCAATAAGTGTATATTGATTGCTTTGTGTGAAAATTATAGCGTCTACAAACTATGGTAAAGATACTGCAATTTACGCCATTTTTTTGCTATACAGCGCTGTGCTAGTTTAACGGACAATTGCACGGTCATGCAATATGGTACATAAATGAAATTTATGTCCTTTTTTTCACACAAATAGAGTTTCTTTTGGTGGTATTTGATCGCCTGTGCGTTTTTTATTTTTTTGCGCTATAAAAAAAAAAGGCTGACAATTTTGAGAAAAAAAAATATTTTGGACTTTTTGCTATAAAACATGTCCAGTAAATTAAAAGTAAAAATCAAATTTCGTCATAAATTTCGGCCAAAATGCATCCTGCGACATGTCTTTGCTAAAAAAAAAAAAAGCCAATACGTGTAAATTGGTTTATGTGAACGTTATAGCGTTTACAAATGGCAGGAAAGATACTGGGATTTTTAATTTTTTTTTATAGTAATAATGGTGGCGATCAGTGACTTATGGCGGCGATCAGCGACTTATGGCGGGACTGCACGGACATTCTGACACTGGGGGGAACTGACTTGGGATCACTGACATCCCCAGTGACACCAATACAGTGATTAGTGCAAAAAAAAAAAAAACCATTGACACTGTACTAATGGCACTGGGGAGGAAGGGGTTAACTTTTTTTATTTACTGAAAGGGTTAACTGTGTAAGGGGAGTGTTTTACTAGGGACGGGGGGGTTGTGTACTGCAGGGGGGACAGCTGATCTGGAGAGATAAACTCTTCTCTCCACTCAGCATGTCAGGAGCTGACAGGGAACTGACAGAAAGCAGAGCTACTGCAGCCCTGCTCTCTGTCAGTGATTGCCGCTAATCAGCGGGACACAGCCGGTAACGATCGGCGGGACAGGTAGGGCAGTGGCGCGCCTCGCACGCACCCCCTACCTGTTTTGCAAACACACGTTTTAAAACGTGGTTTTGCCCAGCCATGCCACCGTATTTCTACAGTGGCTGGGCGGCATGTGGTTAAAGACCAGTGGCTTCCTCTGCGATAACTTCTTTTAAATACCACACTTGTTCCA